CTACCCCATCCTCCTACTTCTCGTTTGTAACCCCACTGCAAACTTCGAGCACCTAGGCTCAAGAATAAAGTCACCGACCGACTCAAACTGAACGTAGGGCACGTTGTCTGAACCAGTATAAACCCTGTGTCATTGAGTGCTAGGCCACCTCCGATCACAATGTATGGCAAAACTATAAATATTTACGTGTTGATCATTTTCTGCACCGACACCACCTGTCTGGAAACTGGTTGGACAGATCAAATGCTCAGATAAGCCAGACCTCATCACTGTCAAGGCTACGATCTCATGTGTAACTGAGCTCCTACACCGTGTTGCCTGCCCGCTAGTGGTCAACGGTACTTCCTCCGTCCTGATCACTTTCCGAGAAAAATATTTTTGACTTTGACCAAATATATATGTAAAAATATTAATATTAATAATATATAATTAGTATCATTAAGTATTAGGTAGATCGTTGAATATATTTTCATAATAAACTTATTTAGAAATATAGGCCCTGTTCGTTTCTCTTATAATTCGTCTTTTTCAGGTGGAACAGTATTTTTCTCTCACAACAAATCAACCGGAACAGTGTTTCGGCTTATTTTTTCAGCGAAGCGAACGGGACCATAAATGTTGCACGCATTTTCTATAAATCTAGTCAAAGTTAAGAAAGTTTAACTTACACGTATCCCATAACTACCTCTATTTTGGGAGGAGTAAGCAATACGTGCAATGCTATGGCAACTGGTGATGTTGACGGGAGGTGGCGCTGTGAGTCTGTGACAGATGTGGGTACAGTTTTTTTAGCCCTATAAGTATGGGTGCTCGGTTCGGAAGGCACGGCTTCTGCTACCGCATACGAAGAGGCTGCGGAAGAGATACTTGGCTGCAGGGCAAAGGACCTCTACTCGATGAAGTGCAGAGAGCACGATCATGCACAGCTGGATGATATCATATGGCGCGCCGTTGGTAAGCAGTATGTCTTACAGCTAAAGGTCAAACGGCAGCTGCTGTCTGGCGTGTGCACTGTTGTCAAGGCAGAGAAGGTGAACCCATCGGCCGAGTCCCGCAGCCTCCGGGGGCAGATCGACATGCTTCTGCAGGAGGGTTCAGGGCCACGTTCGGAGTTTCACAGCCCCACCATGCTCACCTACACAGGTTCGTAGTCATACCGTGCGGCGATCCTCAAACTACAGCAACTCAGCGATGTGCTGTTGTGTTTCAGGAGACAAGCGTGATCGCCCGGGAGCCGCTACGCGATTCCCAGGCGAAGCTTTTGTTGGGTGCATGGTGCACTCTACGTCTTGTTCGTTTAGCTGATAAGTCAAAAGTACCGATGGTTAATTTATTGTGAAAGAAAAACACTATTCGTTCGTCGAAAAAATATGGATTATAAATTTATTGTGAAAGAAAAACACTATTCGTTCGTTGAAAAAATACGGATTATAAGCTAAACAAAAAGGACGTATATATGCAGTAACCAGTAGTTGTATGCCTTGAAGCACTAAGTGGTTGGTTGTATCAGGATGGTGCATTAGCATTTAGCAATGCCAGGACTCTCATAGTATATGTGTGTGTGTGGCTTGGAGTCAGTGACTTGACAATATTTTACTACTACAGTAGTATTCAGCAGTCAGTATTATGTAATATGTAGTAGGATCGGTATATGTTTATTATTATCTTGCAAGGACCTTGTATTAGTAAGCTCAGTCGATGCATGTTAATCTGCTGGAATGAATGCTTAAAATGAAATTGCTTGTTATCTTGTTGCAATGTCCAGCTGGTGCATGTCATGGGAGGCAGCGATTTCATCTGGACATTGACACTCTGTATTACGGCGCCGTTCGCTGGTTCTAGGCCAGTCGGCTGCTTCTCCTCACAGCGGTACTGTTCATCAATAGCCGCTACAGTATTTCTCTTTCGTACAACCTGCCGCTACAGTATTTTGACTTCCTTTTCCCGACACACGAACGGGGCCTACACAGCATGAAGTTTCTTATGTGTCCAGACTGTGTACTGTATAGTAGCAGTGATCATCATCCAGCGAGCCCAAAGATATATATATATATATATATATATATATATATATATATATATATATATATATAGAGAGAGAGAGAGAGAGCCCAGCTGTTTGACTTTTATTAGAATAACTCCGGCGGTAGCCCAAAACAGAGCCTCTCCCCCGGCGGCTTCCAGCGGCGGTGGGTCGAGGGGGGAGAGGAAAGAGGCGGCGGTGGGGAGCCGGCGGCGGATGGAGTTGCAGCGAAGGGGCCGCGGCAGGCGGAGCCGGTGGCCGCGACCGGGAGGCGGCAGGGGAGGAGATGCGGAGGACCTCACCGTGGCCGCTGAGGATCCCGTCGGCGTGGCTGGGGGAAGCACGCCCGCGCGGCCGAGGGAGGCGTGGTTGGCCTACTCCGGCGCGGCGGAGGTTGGCCGGCCCATATGTTCCATGTCTAGTTTGGTCATTTGGCGTCTGCCAAAATTCCAAATCCCAAGACACCCGCCGTGTGCCCGTCTCCCGCGCCGTCCCCGCGCCCAGCTTCCCGCGTACGCCTCGCCTCCGCGACGTCTCCGTGACGGTCTCGCTCTCCCTGCCCATTCTCGTCATTTCCACTTCGCGGCTCCACACTTCTCTCTCCCACTCTCTCACTACAAGCCTGCAACCGCAACTGCGACGGCTTTCCTCCTCCTCCTCCTCCTCTCTCTCTCTCTGCAGCTGCAGTCTCCACCAAGATACCTCCGAGTTCCTTGCATCTCCCGATCTTCGTTCTCCACTGCGCAATGGGTGGAGGAGGAGGAGGAGGGGAAGGGATGGAGGTGGAGGTGCCCCTGTCGACGGGGGCGTTCGAGGCGATGTGGCGGGAGCACGGGCTGCGCCCGGTGCTGCAGCTGGCGGATGGCCGGCGGCCCGGCCGCGGAGGCGGGGCCGTACCGCGTCGCGCTCTCCGACGGCGGCGAGCGCCTGCAGCCGGGGATACTCGCCGCGTCCCTCAACCACCTCGTCGTCCGCGGCGCGCTCCACCGCGGCACCGTCATCCGCGTCCTCGAGTACTTCGCCGGCTTCTTCCACAACAAAAGGTGACGGATCGATCCTCCAACCTCCACTTTCCTTTATATCCTACTACCCTATCCTAGCGCGTCCGTCGGGATCCACATTGGATTATTTCTGGTGCGCCGCCGCTGTGTGCGTTCTTGGTCACGAGTTACTACTGTAGAACTGCCTAGGTTTTTGTGCTTTTTTTTTTTAATTTTTTGTGCTACTGAAATCTTGCCAAGGCGTCCAGCGCCAGAGACCCTTCGTCACGTCCATTCTTGGCTCTAGGAGTGGGGTTTCTGTGGCTGTGCAGTGACGGATCCAACATTACTGCATCGCCTGCCAACAAGCGCTGTTTTTTTTTTGGTTACCTGAATGCATTGCAATGCCGTGAGCGCTGAGCTGTCGATCATATAAATGTGTTGACATTTTTTTATTGCGTCTGTATATGACTGCTTTTGCATGGAATGGGCAAAGAGCCAGTGACCCCTCAATGGCCCTTGCTCTTTTAGTCTTATATAGGTTTGGTTATGTGCATAAGGTTTTGTATTTATAGCATATCTATTTAGTACTGATCAGATCATGCTGTAATTCCTTCGTTTGTAGTTTCAAACCACGCACGCAGAGTTTTTAGTCGTTTACTGCACCACACTCTGAAAAGTGGAACTAAAATCATCGGTTTATTTGGTTCGACGTGGTTTGTGTTTCTTAGTTTGTTACTGAAATGTCTACGGCCGCCTGTGATGCATTTCCACTTGCATCTGATATATATGCTTGTACATTACTGATTCAGATGGGGGTGTCTGTCCATTTTTCGTTTCTTATCAGATGCATCAAACGTACAGGCCATAGGCGCAATGCTCAGTGTGGTTTCCTGAACTGCCAGGCCAAGAATTTAGTCTTTTACTGCAACAGACTTAGAAAAGTGAAACTGAAATCATCAGTTTTATTTGGTTCAGTGTGGTTCTGGTTTTCTGAGTTTGTTACTGAAATGGCCACAACTGTTTATGTTGTATTCCCACTTGCATCTGGTGTCTTGTACATTACTGATTCAGATGGGGTACATTCGTCCATTTTTCCTTTCTTCTTTGATGATACAATTCCATGGAGTTTCCAACATCTCAGCTTTTCTTAAGCTCGAAAATAACTTTGATCGATGTGGTACTAGGGTTTATGGTCATTCCAGTCTACACTCAGGGAAGTCTTGTTGATGGTTTTCCGCTACCTTTAGATTAGCCTACGACTAGGTTAAGTTCGCCACAATGGAGTCCAATAACTTTCATTCAATTATATTCTTGTTTCTGTCAAGGTTGTCGCGCTTCTCTGCATGTGTTTTTTGCCCCCTTTGTTCCTACAATGCCGATGGATGTTATTTTCCCTTTGTCATTAGTAATTTTCCAATGAAAGAAAACCGTCAAACAGGCAATGGTTAACATGCAGAGTTTCTTTTATTCTGTATAAACTATAAACTTTCTATACTGTTGATGATCTTTAGTGCAGTGAAAGGGTGGTGTAGTTTTGTGCTAGCAGTTACAAGTTGGAAAGCTCTTATTCTGGCATCCATGTCAAATCAGTAAAACTGTCACAACACGTTCTGCTGTGACCATCCAAATGAGTCTTAGAGGTAGCTCTTTTAAGATATGACAAGTCTGAATACTCAAGTGGGCGTTACTAAAGTATGCACAATTATAGAATCCTAATGAATTACCATACATCAATAGAATGTGGATTTATGATATGCTGAATTTTAAGATCTGAAGTAGGTTACTGTTGTTTCATGAATATTTCAAGAATCGTTGTTTCTCCAACTTATTTGGTTCTATGATTTGAGTCAATTCTTTGAAATACCTATTTCTGGTAGAGCTGACTGGGCTTCTCCTAAAGAGAAGAATATTGTATTTGAATATTAGTTTGTTGACACCTTTTTGTGGCTTGCCTCTTATCAGTTTAGTTGACCATGCCTTTATCTTTTGTTCAGGATCATTATTGTTATCAAACTTTATGTTCTCCAGAGTGAGTGCAACATAATGGGAAACCCCAAACCTTATGAGATGAGAAACCAACCTAATGAGCAGGTCACCAACTTTCCGGCCAATGCTGCTCAAGCTAATACCGGAACATATTACAGTGGCCCTGGTATGCTGGGTTCTTCTGCTGCTCCAAGGCCAGTGCAAGATGTTAATAATGTACCATACGGTGGATCCTATGGTGGTTATCAGGGTATGATGGGCCTTCCAATTGGTCGTGCAGTAGAATCTGTTCCCAATGTGGCATCTGGTCTCTCTTATGGTACAACTTCAGCACATAATAATACAACGAATGTGGGTATTGTGCAGTCAAACTTGCAGCAGCCTTCACTGAACTCTCACCAGAACCCAAGGTTTGCAGTTCCTTCCATGGCTGGTGGCAGCGGTGCTCCTGGGAATACATACGGCCAACCTACACAGTCCTTTTATCAGCAATCGCCTCCAGGGCATATGAATAGAACTCCTGTGTCTAAGAATGATGCAAATCATCTTGTCCCAGTGGCTCAATTGAACCCCTACCAAAAAAGATGGGCAATCAAGGCTAGGGTGACTTCAAAGACTGATCTCAGGCACTACAACAACGCAAAAGGTGCTGGAAAAGTTTTCTTCTTTGATCTCCTTGATGGACAGGGTGGAGAAATCCGTGCAAGATGCTTCAATGCGCAGGCTGATCAGTTTTTTGACCTCATGGAGGTTGATAAGGTGTACCTGATATCTAGAGGGTCGTTGAGACCAGCACTGAAGATGTTTAACTCTTTGAATCACGAGTATGAAATAACTCTGGATTTGAAAACATCTATCAAAGTTTGCGTTGATGATGATAGCAGCTTCCCTAGGCAGTAGTATAATTTCCGGTAGATTAGCGAGATCGAGAATATTGAGGCAGGTGCTATTGTGGACTTGATTGGAATCGTTACATCAGTTGGTCCTTCTGCCATAGTTATGCGAAAGGATGGCACACAAACGCAGAAAAGAACTCTTCAACTGAAAGACATGTCTGTTCGGATCATGGAAATAATCCTCTGGGGCAAATTCTGTGATGCAGAGGGACATCAACTGCAGTTGCTGTGTGATTCTGGTTCAAACCCTATACTGTCTCTCAAAGATGGCCGAGTTTGTGATTTCAGTGGTAGATCTGTGGTCACAATCGGCTCAACTCAGTTAAAAGTAAACCCATACTTTCCAGTGGCTCAAAGGCTGAAGCAGTGGTACATAACTGAAGGCAAGAATATTGCTTGCATTTCTTTGAGCAGGAATCATGTGCTGAAAACAATTGCACAGATCAAGGATGAGAACCTGGGGCGATCAGATAAGCCAGACTTTATCACTGTTAAAGGTGCAATTTCACATCTGACCACTGATAATTTTTGTTATCCTGCTTGCACCACTGATAATTTTTGTTATCCTGCTTGCACCATGGAGGTGAATGGTAGGCTGTGCAACAAAAAGGTAATAAATAATGGTGATGGGACATGGCAGTGTGACAAATGCGACAAGAGCTTACTGTTAAAAGTGAATAGAATGAACAAGATTTTAGGAACAATTAACTGTTCATTGATCTTTTTGGATTATATATAAATGAAGGGTCATGTTGTACGGACGTCGTATGGACGTGATTGTTCGGGAAAGTTAACTACTAATCTAATCTCTAATCCTAACTGCTTGTACGGATTGTTCGGGAAAGTTAACTACTAATCTAATCTCTAATCCTAACTGCTTGTACGGACTGATGAGATCATCTATAGAAGGACGCCTGTTGGTGTACTGGTGTCATTTCATAACACTCTCTCTTGATCGAATTTTCTTTAAGATCAATGCCGTTGTATGATTGGATTCCTTGAAAAACCCTATGGGAAAAAACTGAGGAATATGTATGTATAGATATGCTATAAAAACTCCTTTAAACCTTATAGGAAAATAAGGAGAAAATGGCATATATGATTGTGATTTAAATAAATCACTATGTTATTGGTATCCCATTAAAAACCCCAGTGGAGAAAAATATTGGAGATACGACATATAGATTACTTCCTCAAAAACCATTTCAGAAAAAATATGAGAAGCAATATAAAGTGATATGTCGCTAAAACTCCTGTAAAAATCAAGTGGGAAAATTAGGAGAAAATATGACAACATATTATTGGTATTGTCTCTTGGATAACTCACATGAAAAACTTTTTCAGGGAAAAACTATGGATGAGTTGTGAGGGCAATATATGTCTTTGATATTTCCAAAAAAAACCTCGATGGGGGAAATAGGAAATATGACACATGCTTATGTTAATATTAACTCATTAAAAACTTGAACAAAAAACCTTGTAAGTAAAACTTGTGAAAGAAAAGAGTATAATATAATGCTGGTACATGTCAACATTTAGGAGATGTCTCCCCCTGATTCTGGCAAATTTTGAAGTCGCCGCATACCAATTTCATGTACCAATTTTTTAAACACACAAGTTGGTAAAGACTTAGTAAATAGGTCAGCGAGATTATCACATGACTTGATTTGCAAGATGTCTATTTCCCCGCTTTCTTGTAATTCATGGGGATAAAACAGTTTAGGAACAATATGCTTAGTGATATTGCTCTTTATGTAACCTGTTTGTATCTGTGTAGCACAAGCGGAATTATCTTCATAAATAATTGTAGGTGATTCAATTGAACCGATATCACATGACTGTTGTATGTGGTTAATCATTCTGCGAAGCCATACATATTCTCGTGATGCCTCGTATAGAGCAATAATTTCAGAATGATTAATAGAAATCGCTGTCAGAGTCTGCTTAGAAAACTTTCATGAAATAGTTGTACCTCCATGTAGAAATACAAATCCTGTTTAGGATTTTCCGTTATGAGGATTAGATAAGTAACATGTATCGGTATAACCAATCATACTGGGATCATGATTTTTCTTGAAGAATAAACCAAGATCCTTTGTGCCATTAAGGTATATGAGGATACACTTCGCTCTCGTCCAATGACGGCGAGTTGGGTCCGCACTATGTCTAACTAGTAAGTTCACTGCAAATGCGATATCAGGCCTGGTGCAATTTGCAAGATACATAAGTGCGCCAATGACACTGAGATATAGGATTTCTGATCCCAACACCTTTTCTCCAATATCCCGTGGTCTAAATGGATCTTTCCCTATTTCTAAGGAACGAACAACCATCGGAGTTTTACTAGGGTATGATTTATCCATATTGAATTTCTCCAATACTTTCTGGATATAGGCTGATTGATGCACTAACATCCCTGAAGGACGGTGCTCAAGTTGTAAGCCTAGGCAATACTTGGTTTTACCCAAATCCTTCATCTCGAATTCCGTCTTTAGATGTTTGCGTGCTTCTTCTATATCCTTTGGGTTGCCAATGATATTTAAATCATCAACATACACGGGTATAATACAAAATCCCGTTCGAGATTTCTTAATGAAAACACATGGGCAATCATCATTGTTAGAGTATCCTTTCTTTAGAAGGAATTCACTTAGTCGGTTGTACCACGTTCGTCCCGACTGCTTCAAGCCATATAATGATTTTTGTAGTTTTACACAATACATGTTGCGATTTGCGTTTGGATTCCATCGGAAACCTTCATGTATATGTTCGAATCAAGTGACCCATATAGATATGCTGTCACCACATCCATCAACTACATAGATAAATGATTTTGAACTGCCAATGATATTAGGTATCGGAAAGTAATTCCACTCATTACCGGAGAATAGGTTTCATTGTAATCAATGCCGGGTCTCTGCGTGAACCCTTGTGCTACTAGTCTTGCTTTATATCTCACCACCTCATTGTTCTCATTCCGTTTCCGGACAAAAACCCATTTAATGCCTACAGGAAAGACTTTGGAAGGTGTAGGTATTGCAGATGTGAATACCCCTCTTCTAGTGAGCGAGGCTATCTCAGCTTGAATTGGTTCTTTTCATTGAGCCCAGTCCGAGCGCTTTTTGCACTCTGCCATGGTCTTTGGATCTGGATCATTGAGAAAGATTTCTGCACTTGCTGCGGAGAAGTACATGTCGACAACAGTAGTTTTACGATCGTATGATTATCCAGAATCTATGTAATTGATGGAAATTTCTTTCACCCCATTATTTGACTCAACATTTCCTAAAACTATGGAGTCAAGGTGTTCCGATATCCCAGGATCAGAATTTGGATGCACCGTTGATCCGGGTTGTGGATTTGGTCCTGATGTTGGATTTTTATCCACTATTGGGAGTCTACCAACTTGAGGTTGGCATGAATTTACTGATTTGGAGGATTTAGCCCTCGATATCCTCGGACGCTTACTTGTAGCATTATCCTTAGGAGCGGCCGTACTTCTCACCCTCTTCTTTGGAAGTGGGAGTTGAATGATTTTTATTGGTACCTCCACTCTTTCGGGCGCATTGCGAGCAGGATAAGAGGATTTAGTGACACCCTTATAATCAGTAAATGCTTCTGGCAGGTTATTTGCAATATGTTGCAAGTTTATGATTTTCTGAACTTGTTGTTCAGTCTCTAGAGTACGTGGATCTGAGGGAGGAATGCCTTGGGCATTCCAGATGATTTTCTGGCATTCGTTTTGGTACTTGAAGTCTCCTCCTAATGCCGGGAGATGGTCCTCATTAAATATGCAGTCAGCATATCGGGCCGTGAATAAGTCCCCTGTAAGAGGCTCGAGGTATTTGATAATTGATGGAGATTGATATCCCACATAGATACCAAGTTTCCTATGTGGGCCCATAGAAGTACGCTTAGGCAGTGAGATCAGTACGTATACAGCGCAACCGAATTTTCGCAGATGGGAAATATTTGGTATATTCCCACATACTAATTGCAATGGGGAGACTACATGATATGCAGGTGGTCGCAATTGAATTAAGTCAACAGCGTGTAAGACTGCATGACCCCAACATAAAGTTGGTAGGTTGCAATTTTGTAATAACGGTCTTGCAATGAGTTTAATTCTCTTAATAAGAGATTCTGCTAAACCATTTTGTGTATGGACATATGGGACAGAGTGCTGAACTTGAATTCCCAAAGCCATACAATAATCGTTGAAAGCCTTTGATGAAAATTCAGTAGCATTGTCCATTCGAATTGATTGAATTTGATGTTCAGGATGATGTGCTCTAAGTCTAATAACTTGAGCAATAATTTTTGTAAATGCATGGTTACGTGTGGACAAAAGACATACATGAAGCCATCTAGTAGATGCATCTATTAGAACCATGAAGTACCTGAACGGTCTAGACGGTGGTTGTATGGGGCCACAAATATCTCTTTGAATGCGTTTAATAAATTTTAGTGGCTCATTTTGGATCTTAACGGGCGATGGCCGTACGATCAATTTCCCTGTAGCGCATGAAGTGTACATAAAATTTGAAGATTTTGGGAATTTAGTAGTATTTAACTCATGACCTTTAGAATTGCTGATAATTTTTCGCATCATCCCTGTACCAGGATGGCCAAGGTGTTCATGCCAAATTTTGAATGCGTCAACATTCTAAAAAATTACCTTGTACACAACATGCGGTACGGGTTTGATGTATGTGTAGTACAATCCAGACAGAAAAGAGGGAATTTTCTCAACAATTCGTTTGCCATATCCACTATTTTTAGTAACGAGGAGTATTTCCTCATTATTGTCATCACGGGTTTCAATATGAAAACCATTTTGACGGATATCTCTATAACTTAATAAGGTACGCTTTGAATCGGGATACAATAATGCATCCTCAATTGTAATTTGGGTACCCATGGGGAGTACAATAGTGGCACGACCAGAACCAACTATTGTAGCATCGCGCCCGACGATTGTTAAAACATTTCCTTGTCTTTTTG